AACTAATTTACTATACAGTAATTAACACCAGAACTTGAAAATTAAAAAATATTTATTTAATAGAACTTAATATAAAATACAAAAAAGTTTTATTTTATATAAATTTAAAAATAGTACATTCTACTCTTAATATTAACTATATATGCATTATATTCATTTCAGTGGATTATTGGTATTATTCTCTTCGCAAATTATCAAGTCTAGCTTGTAAGGCTGCATCATCATTTGATTCCATATCTACGATTTGCGGAACCTTTTCTTTGGTGGTCTCTTTCTCAATTGAACTAGGAGTGTCAACCAGCTAATTTTGGAATGCCATCAAATGTCAATGGTTATAAATGAGATCGTTGCATAACGTAAGATATAAAAAAGTGGATATGGCCATACCGACTGATCCAGAGAGATCCCAATCTCATCCAAGACTTGATTTACAATCATGTCACTTTCCTCCTCGTCTTCTTCCTCAGCCATGGTGTCATCAATAACATCGTTCATCATTTCCTCTTTCATGTCCATTATTTCAGATTCTTTTTCAAATTCCATCATGATTTTTTGCATTGCTGGCAAATTCATTTGTCGATTCATTGATTTCATGGCCTAAATCGATTAAATAATTAAATCTACAATAAGCAAAATGGATAAATTATCGATTGCATCTTACTTTTGTTGCTCCCTTCATAGCTTCAGACATTTGCTGATTTGATCGAAGAGTCTAAAAAAAATTTTTTTTAGCATAATTCACATTAAACCGATGAAATGGGTGGTTTGAAAGTAACAGAATTTTACCTGAATTCGTAATGAAACAGCTTGAAGCTGTGTTTTCATTGCTTGGAATTTTTGAGAGTAACGACGAGTTCTGACAAGATCTTTAGCCATAATTTTACATGCACTCTATCAGACCCAACACATAATCAAAAGAATAAGCTTTATTATAATAAGAAATTTCTGTAAGGTATTCACACTGACGGGTATAAATTAAGCGTCATTGTTGTAATAATGAACGCTTATGCGTATACTAAAGTACGTAAAAGCCACCATACCACTTGATTTGCTTTAGCAGACTTTTTTATGTCAGCTATTAATTTTTTTTCTGCAAGATCCAGTTTTGCCTTTTCACGATCCATTTCACGTTGTGCTTTTTGAAGTGCACGTTGATGTTGCCGCAATAGTTCTGCCGGCGTTTTTTTGCGACCAAATAACAGCTCCTATAAAAGAAGTGAAAATAATATTAATGCCTTGCAAATAAATAATACTCATCGGCCTTTACTGGAGATTACCATCGTAACGCGGATTCGGTGTTTGGTATTATTCAACACGGATTAACGGAACTACTTGGCACCTATTTATATCCGAATAATACTTATGCATCAATGCGTAATCTTTTTATTATGGAAATTGCGGAAATGCCATGTGCGAGTGGATATAGAGAAGTCTCGTGATAGATATCACACTAAGACTAAAAATATAAAAAGGCGGCATATATCAAATTATCATGTTTGACTTTTGTCAAATATGCCTTCTTGTGAAGAAATCCGTAGGGAACTCGTCGATTGCTTGCTCAAATCCGACTGCGTAGTAGTGAAACGCCACACTGTTAAAGGTGGGGTGATAATTGAAGGGTAACAATTTACCTGTTTGTTTTTACTAGAGATACGAACCGTAAACTATTTATAATAATCTACGGGTTACTTTAAATCTATGGATATTCATCGGTTTATAATAATCTATGAATTATTTATATAATGTTCAATGTTCGGTTCGCATCACTAGTTTTTACTCTTTTTATAATAACTACTTTTGGATCGAGGTTAAAAGAGCGTTCTCTTTCCGCGTCTTGTATTGAAAAATAATATACAAAATCCGATAAACATTTTTTTCGATGACAAATTAGAATGTTTACAATTCGAAAATGCTGCAGATGTGCCCATAGAATGTCAAAGCATTCGAAGAAGTTTCTTTGAATGTAAAAGAAGATTGGTAAATTTATTTCAAACCAACGTAGCATATAATTATCAGTAGCATTGACGTTTTTTTTTCTTTTGAAAATTTGTAGTTGGATATGCGAACTCGATTTAGAGGCAGCAAGCCTTAATCTATGAAAATTAATTATTTGTTATATCATGTGAGATTGTATGTGTGGTACTGAGATACAGTAGAATCTACACCAACACAATTTAATATAATCTTTTAATCCAATAAAATGAACACGTATAAAGTAAATCAAATCCATATAAAGTATAAAAATCTTTTCTAATCCTTCCAAAGATTTCATAAGAAAAACAACTCGCCTTCATTTCAATTTTATAAATTACAACTTTAAATTATCGTAAATAAATATAGTTTGAAAACATTTACAGCAAGAATAACTCAAGCATATTATGGCGGAGGCTTTCATTGGCTTGAGTGTGCACGTCGAACTTGGTAATGGTTCCTCATTGGAAGGAACTGTGTCTCATATCGATTCTCACACACAACTGTTAACTCTAAAAAATGGTTTGTATTATATAAGTCGTTTTTTTATTAATATTGTAACGATTCCTTACATACTTTCTATAAACACTTTGGATTTAAATTAATAACAGTAAAGCTTTACAACAACGGTCGCTTCCAACAACTCGCTATATATGGGGTAGCTGGCACGGAAATTAAAGATCTCCAAATAATTGCTTCGAATCAATTAAACCAGTCAAATATCTCTCAACAGCAGCGACAAGTGCAACCTCCTTATAATAATGCAAAAAACCTGGAACCTGTTAAACTACCTTCAACAAACTCCATCTCTGCTACAAATAATTCTACAAAATATGAAACAATTCAAAATCAATTATATTCCTCTGGCCTCTTATCGAAGTCACCTTTTACAGATCCTGCAATTATTTCGGTTGGTTCATTTTTTATTTTACTAGTCCAAAGGAATATTGTTTACGAGAATACCGCATAATATATTACAGGAAATTATATATAAATATTTATTGACAGACCGATTATTTTTATCATTATTTATTTCCTATTATTATTATTTTATTATAGTATTCTCATTTACCTCAACGTTCATCGATTTCTCCAGTGAATTCATATGGATTAATAAGGTAGTTTGAAATTCTTTATGAAAAAATGTGATGGTATTTTTTCAAAAAAAAGTGCTGCATGCATATTTACTAATTACATTGAATTTCGACGTGAATGCTACTCAGAACATCACCACCGTACGTCGTATGTATTCTATATATTTTTTTTCCTAGCGAATAATTTATATTATTATTATCCAAGAAATTTAGAAAACATATGTTTATGAGTTTTATTTTAGCTAGATCTGGTACTTAATAACTTAACTTGTTTATTTTTATTGACTGGGGTCCCGACGTTAATTACCCTTTTTTGGTGTATGTTCATTAGCAAATCCATCCTCAACCAACTTTATCTGGCTCTCGCACACCCTCAAAAACAACTCAAACAGGCTCAACAATAGATAGTGATTCTAAAGGTGAAGAAGAGGAGGAACTTGTGAAAACATCAAACGGTAATCATCACAATGGGGGTGAATCGAGCGAAGCTGAGTCTGGTAGTGTGACATACGATCAAAAAAAGACGAGAAGAAGAAAGGTAATAATTTAGAAAATATGTGAATATTTAATTGGCAAGTTTTGTATGAAATCCCAACAATCCTAAGATCATAGTCCTGAAAGACTGGTTGGAATTAATTATAATTTTTCGGGATTTTGTATCAAACCTTAAATTGGTAACACATGTTTATCATTTTTTCGATTAAGAATCTGAATACAAATGGCCATCATCAAAATTCACGAACGCCTCAGTCTCCGGGTAAGATTCTCACTAATTTATACATATAATTATTGTCGCGGCTGAAACTGGAAATTAGGAACCCCGAATTTAAAATATAAACCTACCAAAATCCATATATACTTTTTTATTATCAAGACCAACCCTAAATCTTAACTATATATATATATATAATAATAATAATAATAATAATAGTATTATTATTATTATTAAATAAAAAACGCACCAATTTCCGACTCCAGTTTCAGCCGTGACAATTATTTACTTATTTATTGATTTCATAACATTCATTCACAAAATTCCTTACAGCAAGAAGACCCAGACGTGGCCGTCGACAAACCCATGAGTGGGCTGGTGGTGATGTTAACGACTTTAAATCGAAAGAATTTGATTTTCAAGGCAACTTGGACTTATTTGATAAAGAAAAGGTGTTTGCAGAAATCAGAGTAAGCCTTGATGTTATAAATATTTATTTCCCTTTTGCAGTAATTTAATATATTAAAATTTAATGGCCTATTTAGGAGCTAGATTCCACAGCGCCAGAAAATCTTCTTGTCAATATCAATCGTAATCCAAATTTTCGTTCAAATGGTCGTAATGGCGGCTCTCAATTAAATCAAGCTACATTGCCAAAATTAGCATCTCATGAAAACGTTTTGGAAACTTCTTCACGAAAGACAAAATTTTATCACACTGATGAAGAAGACGATGCGGCTAATGATGGTGAAGTTGACTCTGATGGTTCTTGGAAAAAGAAGAAAAAGGCTAATGGTGTTGGTGATCATAGAAAGGTTAAAATAAGGACGTTAACTGGTGTTGCGTGTCCGACTGTCCAACCTGTCCAGATGGTGGAAGTTGAAAGGATTGCTGGTAAGAACAATATAAACGCTGCATACGGTACATAAATGCCTCGATTGGATATAAATATATTCTTTTTAATTAAAACATCAAGCGACAGAAACTGGTCCAAATGAAGATCAAATGATTGAAAATGCTGGTAGAGGAGCTTCTATGATGTGCCTTCAGGCGCTCGGTATGTGATGCGCATCCTTTTGAATATTAAATTACACCATTTTTGAAATTAACTTATTAAATGTTTACTATCTTGACAAAAAGGTGGTTCGCGGCGTATACAACCACATAACCATAATGCAGCACCATTAGTAGTGATACTTGCCGGTAATAATAAAACTGGTGCATATGGTCTTGCTACCGCACGACATTTAGCAAATCATGGATGTCATGTAATCGCATGTGTTGTCGGAAAAGACAAAGACTTACTCAAAGTAAAATCAATCTGTGCAATGTTGATTCGCCAATTTAACCCGTTTTTGTTCTTGACCAATACATTTTGCAATATAACTTGAATAATAGAGTGTTGCCTATCAACAAAAGATTCTATATCCAACCGGTGGAAGGTCTGTTAAAACTGTGGCAGGTGAGTAACGTCAAATTCAACTTAAATTTAGCTGCGGATTATATGAATTTAATTGCGCATACTTTATGCAAAATTCACAAAATTCATTCGTGGAACCGCACGTTCATTTCAGATTTTAGTTGCGAAAACTTATAAATTGTTTGCGTCCGCAACCCAATGATCTAAACGTTTAGTTAATAAAATTATTAATCTTCTGTCTTTATCTAGAACTGCCGCAGCAATTCACCAATCCTGTTGATCTCATTGTTGACGCCCTACTAGGATATCAATTCACTTTACGAGATATAGCAGATGAACATGAAAAACTCTCGATATGCGAATTGATTGATTGGGCCAATGCTAATAAAGCACCCATTCTAAGTTTAGATATGCCAAGTGGAGTGAACGGAAATACAGGTAACTAGAAGAACTTTGTACACAGCATCTTAATATAAATTTACTTAGAAATTCGTAACACATTATTAAGGTAATCCTAGTAATCCCGCTCACTGTATTCATCCAAAATGGACGCTATGTCTCGGGGCGCCTAAGAGTGGGTGTAAATCTCGTGCTGTTACTGGAGAGCTATTTTTAGCTGATATCGGTATTCCACGAATTTGTTGGAAAAGAATCGGAGTTAAAGGATGGGGTATGCCTTGGGGTAGTGAGTATTTAATTGGATTGGAATACGCCACGTAAATAATGATTGTAGTCGATTAAAAACTTTTAAGCTTAGCAGAGCCGATAATTTTGATACGGCTAAGCCGGCTTAGTCGGTTATTATCTTAAAAAAAATTAAATAATTAAATTCACCAATAATAAATATAATCCGAAAATTCATGTTGGCCACGCTCATTTTTCGTTATTTTACTTAAATAATGATAAACGTTGCTGTGCAACATTTCCAAAGTAAAAAAGTCGTTATTCTCTATTACGTCACAATGGCGGCGGCACTACTATTTCCACTTCTGAATAAAAGACTAGGAAAGTACAGCGAACTCTCTAAGTGCCAACGTACTGAGCATTCAGAGAATACAGCACTTAGGTAAGTTATATTCTGTGATGTAACTTACGGCGCAGCCATTATATATAGAAAACAGCTCTACCGGCTTTATTACAATCGATTACCGTAAAAATCGAACGCATGTACTCGTGGCGGTGTTGTACATTTGACACTGATGATTTTTATTGGCTAAATATGTCACAAACCACGAATGCTTCTTGTCAAACATCAGGAAATTTTAAAATTAGATTATTATCGATTAAAATCTAAGGATTTTAAACGATTCTCATGCCACCGTCGATTAAAATCGCTTGGATTTTCATCGATTATACTCGATAGATCATTATTTTACCCAACTCAAGACAAATTCGACAAGATTTATAATTATCAGATATCAACTTAATATCCTTTGCTGCTGAATACTATTAAAACAAATCCAAACACAACTACAACAATAATATTATTATTGTAAAGCAAAGAAATATAAATATAATGATAGCAGTATTGTTTCTATCACATACTAAACAATTGAATTTGATCATATTGTTATATTAGTAGATTTTATTAGCATATTTTATAAGATTTTATTAGTATATTTTATTAATATAATTTGTATTTATTATATGTTTATTTTTAGCTTTAGTTTATTAGTCAAATTTTTGACAAATAGTAGTAATTTTAGTATAATAT